GCAAGTTAAGTATTCAAACGGAACCATATGACCTCTATGAATTTTTCTTGATTTAATCGGTTGCAAAATAGACAATTCGACTGAGGCTTTCAGGTACAGTTTGTTAATTAAAAGCTTTCACGGTCTCCGGCATCGTCAGGGAGTGTGATGTGTTCATAGAGTTCATCATTTCCCGATTCAAAACAACAGATTAAATAGATTCAAGATGTGTTACATGTAGTTTATTTCATAGACGACGAGTAGTCCATCTTTCGTTTAGTCCGCAGTTTTCTTTCACGTTACGCATGACCAACTAAGCGAAAGAGCGACTACTCGTAGTCTATTTATTTCATTTTGGAGAATCGAATTCTTGGACTTTTTACTATATTATTTTTGTTTTTGTGATACTAAAGAAAACCATGGGTTTGGACTTTCATACAATAAAGAGAAAACCCGTATTCTCGCAAGCGAAAGGACGTTTTCGAACATCGTAAAAAAAACTGACTTTCCACTATCCCCAACGACTCTCCCTCATAACATTTTACTCCTGTATAAAATTTTGACTGCCTTTTCATTTTCAATGGTCATTCTTAGGCTGCAAATAATAACCACCTCCTTTCAATGCTCCTTGTAAGTCTGGGTTTTGAAAACGCGTTACCGGCTAGGGGCCTGTTTCTCGTAAGCCCCGTAATTTTTTCGGACCTGCAAAGCCATTTCTAGTTCATCTGTATCTGAAAACAGAAAGGTGTATACGCGTGAAACTTTCTTGTATGAAGGGAACTTGTGGTCATATTAAGAATATGTAAGTAAAACAGCTATGTAATCATAAGGTTTGAGNAGTTCATCTGTATCTGAAAACAGAAAGGTGTATACGCGTGAAACTTTCTTGTATGAAGGGAACTTGTGGTTATATTAAGAATATGTAAGTAAAACAGCTATGTAATCATAAGTTTTGAGATTTTGCTACACTTTCCAGGTGCGAAAACTTTTCGGGACCTTCGAGAAACGGGCCCCAGGAGCGGGCAAAAGCGACTGTACTCGCAGCCTAGTTCACTCTCGGCCAACTGCGATAAAAGCGAACCTGCGGCGTCAAGCCTCGGGTTGTTGGATGATATTTGAATCGTTTTAAAGTTTTTAACTTGCGTGGTTGTAAGCTTATATACTGCATAAACTGGAATTCCCAAGTACTCGTTAAAGAGGGTGGCATATTCAACCATTCTTGTTTGTAGATCACACTTAACAATTACATCCTGAGCTCGAATTTAATAGAGCCTTGTCGAATCTAATTAAGTTCATGTTCTATAGGGATCAACCGTTTCTGGTTAGTTGGGATTTTTAGTGTTCTATTGGGGAAAAATAAACCTTTTTCGGTTGGTTTTGTTGATTAAC